GACTTATTTCACTTAGCATAACACTCTCCAGTTCCATCCACGTTGCTACAAAAGGCCATATTTCATTTTTTCTCATTGCCACGTAGTATTCCATTGTGTATATAAACCACAATTTCTTTATCCATTCATCCGTTGATGGACATTTAGGCTCTTTCCATAATTTGGCTATTGTTGAGAGTGCTGCTATAAACATTGGGGTACAAGTGCCCCTATGCATCAGTACTCCTGTATCCCTTGGGCATAGCTGACTCTTTAAAAGGCAGCTTTAACGGTAACTTGTGCAGCTGTTGTAGGGACACCTGTAGGCAAGGCAAATTTAAACACACAAATCTATCCAGTCTTTTGAACCTAATCAGTTTAGAAGGAGAACAAAACCTGACCAAAAAAAAAAAAAAAAAGAATTGAGTTCTTTAAAGCCTATTATCTAAACTAAAACTCAGGAAACAACAGCAAAAGGAAGGTTTCGGGGTTCTTAGTTGTGTTTTTGCTTTGTTTTGTTTTTACTATCATTTATTGTCAAGTTGGCTAACATACAGTGTATACAGTGTGCTCTTGGCTTAGGGAGTAGATTCCCGTGGTTCATCGCTTACATAGAACACCCAGTGCTCATCCCAACAAGTGCCCTCCTCAGTGCCCATCTCCCATTTTCCCCACCATCCCACCCGCCCCCATCAACCCTCAGTGTGTTTTCTGTACTTAAGAGTCTCTTTATGGTTTGTCTCCCTATTTTCAAATTATTTTTTCCCTTCCCCTCCCCATGGTCTTCTGTTAAGTTTCTCAAGTTCCACATATGAGTGAAGTCATCTGGTATGCTTTCCTCTAACTGACTTACATCACTTAGCATAATACCCTCTAGCTCCATCCATGTTGTTGCAAATGGCAGGATTCATAGGGGCACATGCACCCCCATGTTTATAGCAGCCCTATCAACAACAGCCAAAGTATGGAAAGGGCCCAAATGTCCATCCACTGATGAATGGACAGAGATGTGGTTTATATATACAATGGAATACTACTCAGCAACGAGGAAGAATGAAACCTTGCCATCTGCACGGTTCTTCGCTGGGAACGGCGCCTCCAGGCACATCCCTGTGGGCACGAAGCACTCGAAGCTGACGTGGCTCCAGACCCAACAGAAGGATCCCCAGGACTCGGGAAGTGGAAGGCCAGCTCCGCCATGGGCCCCGGGAGCCACCTCCACAAGTGACCACTACCCCGAAGACAGGCTCCGAAGCCCTTCGCCAAAGGACCGCCTACTCCCTGTTCCAGCCTGCCACCCCCTGAGGACAGGCCGCAGTGACCTCAGCTCAGGCCTGGTGCTCTCCTGTGTCACCTGCGGTGATCAGGCCAAGCGAGAGAAGCCCAGGGGAGTCTCCCTGGATCCTTACACCCAACTATGAACAGAAGAAACAACTGACCAACCTTTGGGTGCCGAAGCTCTCCTCTCTGTCTGCAAGCCTGCCAAGTCTAAAAACAAATGACCCAGATTCAAAACACCTTATTAGCTAATTAAAAAATTTTAGAGTCTAATTCCAACACATTTTAACCAGAGAAAACTTACAAATTTTTTCCCAACAACTTCATAACACGTGGGGGCCCCCCCCCGCCCCTACTTCTTCCAACACTGTTTGTTCAACGTTGGATGCCAACAAGCCTCACAGTGCTTCCGGCAGAGAAAGGGCTGTGATCCGAACGCACACTAAGGCCCTGCGGCGGCAGGCCCCCTCGCCCGATCGCAAAACACTTACTCTAAATGCCTCAACCAGTGCAATGCAGTCGCTCTTGCTGTTGCCGGAGAAATTCACTTTGTTCCTACAGAGAACAAACAGTGTCATCCGATGCCCTTAAAAAGTGGCTTTTAAAAATAGGAATGAAAAAAAAAATAAAATAAAAAAATAAAAATAAAAATAGGAATGCCAGGGGCATCTGGGTGGATCAGTCTGCTAAGCATCCAACTCTTGATTTCAGCTCAGGTCATAATCTCACCGTATGTGGCGGAGTCTGCTTGGGATTTTTCTCTCTCCTCTCTCTCTCTCTCTCTCTCTCACTCTCTCTCAAAATAAATACTTAAGAAAACTATATATATATATATATATATATATATGCACACACATACACACGAACGCTAAATACCTGTATCCATCAAGATGCTGCCTAAAAGGCATTGCAAAAAAGTTCTTCAAGGAAAGCGCTGCAGCTAAAGAGAAAAACAAAGATGAGGTGAGGCTGGTAGAGCGGCAGTCCACAGCCCTCCCAAGACCTCCCTGCGCCCACACTTACCTATAATAAGACACTCATCAAGACATCCAAATACGTGCCCAAGGACTATGAGTTTACCGAGCTGCTGATTAACAGGAAGCTGGGCCAAAACTCTTCCTAAGAAGGTCAGTTCACCATCGTGGGGGTTCTCATCCTCTCTCTGCCCACTCACTGCAAGTGCTCCAACCTTTACGAAATATATTAGTGCTGTTAGCAAGCACAGACTTCTTCAGGTTCTTTTTTCCCGAGAGGCAGGCAGTTTAAACAGGAAATGAAGACCACATCTTGGTAAGACTCTGAAAGACATCTAAGTTGACTTATGAAAAATTGATGCTCCCAAAAAAAAGTCTTTTTAATTTGCTTTCTGGAATTTAGAACATTTTCTTATTTTTTAAAAAGAGCGGCACTGGGAGGTAATGCTCGAGATACTCCCGCCAAAGTCCACTTATGATTCAACAAGTATAGCGCGCACGACATTAAACCGCAGACCTGACTACCACGTCACACACGACATGACGTATTCAACTGTGTGTGGGAGAAAACAAAGGTATCTAAGTGTTTCAAAGCAGAGGTGAAACACCAGAGCGCCCCCAACTTCAAGGGCCAGAAGACCATCCGCAGCCCCAAGAAGCGGCGCACAGGGCAAGGCCCGGGCCACGGGCAGCAAGAGCACGGCGGGTTGGGGGTCAGGAGCCCAAGAATCCAAGGGGGCAGAGCAGTTTCCGGCAAGGGAAGGAGCCGGCTAGAACTTCGTGCAGACAGGACTTCGGGGAAGGGCCATGGAGCTGGTGGACGCCAGCAGGCAGGCACGGTCAGGCGGAGCCGCCCCGAAACCCTGCGCGTCAGCCCACAACAGCGCCCTTTAGACGCGCGTCCCGCACGCCCTGTGAGGAAGAAATACTCACACCCCACTTGGCATTGGCATTCGTTACTTTCACATCTGCAGAAACCCCTCAGCATCACCACACGCTGCGTCTCCTCCCCTCGTGGCAGCAAAGGCCAGCAGACGGCATGGGGGCTGGGAGGGGCCCGGGGAGGGGAACCCAGCAAAGGCAAGAGCCTCAGCGAGATCACCCACAAAACTGGGGCGAACAACAGGTATGGAGCCTGGTATCGACGACGAGGCATTACAGGTGCTTCTTAAAGCCAATGCTGATTGTTTAGGACCATCAAAATACTTTAAAGATATCCATGTCACAAAACTTCCAAAATTTACCCAACAAAATCTTAGCTTTCCCAGCACTGACGAACATCACGCAGGCCTACCTCCTTTAGCAGAAGGATGGTTCGTTCAATGTCACCCAGACCAGGTGGAGAAAGGGCCGTTGCCAGCAAAGCTCTCGGTTCACCCATATCCAGCAATTTCACTTTCAATATTGTGCTTCCTAATGGACAACGCTGAAAAGAGCAAAACATTTAGAAACAGAAGAATTAAATAAATTAACCTAACCTACCTACACATGACTAGTACTTCAGAGACAGATGCAGGAGAGAGGAGAAGAGAAAAAGAAAGAAAAACAGAAGATGGAGAGAGACAAAGGGTGAGAGAGGAGAAAGAGAGGAGACAGAAAAAAAAGATGTGCAGGCAAGGGAGAGAGATAGGGCAGGAGAGGAGGGGGGGAGAGACAGATTGGTGGGGGGGGAGGGGGGAGAAAGAAGGAAGAGAAAGAGAAAGAGAAAGACAAGGAAGAAGAGAAGAGAGGACAAAGAGGAAGCCGGCGCTGACCCCACGCTTAAGGGCCATAAAGGGGCTGGAGCCCGCAGGCACAAGGAGCCACTCCTCTCACTACAAATTTAACAAGCATGCGCGGTCCTGGCTGAGCGCGGGGCGCTCAATAAATGGCAAGCCAGCACTGTGATTCAAGACTAGTTTGGTCAGACAGTGACTTGCCTGGAATCAAAATTGTTAACACCTAACACGGTATTACCTAGACCATTCAATAAAACTCTATCTATAAAAAGCAAACTTCGGAAATGACCAAAGAGCATTACCAACATCTCGGGGACAACGTGGTCTGGGATGGAGCTGTCCCAGAAATCCCTGTGGATCAATCTATAGCAGTGCCCTTTAGACACTCTTCCCGCACGGCCTGCGAAGGAGAAACATCCAAACACCATTTGGCATTAATCACCTTCGCGTTAGCATAAATACGTATGTAAGAATAACCATTAAATATTAAGAAAAGCCCTTGTTATTTTCTACCAGACCAGGTCGGTAAAGACTTCAGAATAAGCTGGTGTTCAAAGACCTCTCATGTAGGCAGATTAAACACTGAAGTTTCCTCTGTGATCGACGGCATACAATGCGATGCGTTATTTCTAAAGAAAACCACGTTGGCCCCAATGTGCAACGAAAATCAAAACATTTTAAATACAAGACGTTTCCTGCAGATGCAAAGCTCACACTAATAAAAACACAAAAAGCATAGCTGGCAGGAGCCGGTGAGGCTCCCCCAGTGACATGGCTGTGCAATGAGACATGTGTAGGCTGTCACTGTCGCCGTCTGCCTTGGGCTTCTCACCATGGCCATCAGTCCCGATGCCTCCGCAGAGGCTGCCGTCATGACAGCTGCTTCACGTGAAATGAGGGCTCGGAACCAGGCCTGGCCCTCACGGACCACCATACGAGGACTCTTCTCTCGTGACTGCATTGCTTGTGGAGGACAAACTCCTTTGTCCCTAAACATAATAAAATCTCCCAAGGAGAAAGAGGGGCGGGGAGGAGAAAGGGTGTCCTTAATAAATACCCAGCTTTTAAAAATGCAGCAGCCCTGGGGCGCCTGGATGGCTCAGTCAATAAAGCGTCCAACTCTTGATTTCGGCTCTGGTCATGATCTCATGGTTTGTGAGACTGAGCCCCGCGTCAGGCTCTGCATTGACAGAGAGGAGCCTGCTGGGGATTCTGTCCCTCCCTGTCTCTCTGCCCCTCCCCTGCTCACGTGTGCATGCACACATGCTCTCGCTCCCTCTCTCTCAAAATCAATAAACAAACATTTTTAAAAACGGGGCAGCCCAGGGAGGTTGTCTCCTTCCCCACCTGTGGAGTCAGGAAAGACGGAGGGGCGTCTGGACTCCTGCCCCCCACCTCCACCTGTCTCCCCTGGTAGGTCCCTTCACCCGCGGGGAATTGAGTGGAGAGTCCGGACTTCCAGCACTGCCATCATCACCCCCACCCTGCACCTTAACGTGCCAATGACAGGACTCTCTAAGTACAAAACTCCAAGGCAATGACAAAAGACAAAAGTGAAACCAACTCCTAGAACCAACTAGTGAACTCAGCAAAGCCACAGGGTACGAGATCAACACACAAAAGTCACTCACACATCTATACACACGGCAGCAATGAACACGTAAAAACCGAAATTAAAAATGCAACGCCATTTCCAATCACCCCGAGTAAAATAAAATAGTTAGGATCTGCATGCTGAAAACAACACAAGCTGATTAAAGAAGTAAGTGGAGACACAAACCGTGTTCAGGGATTGAAGACCCAGCATAACAAAGACGTCGATTCTCCACAAACCGTCCTATGGGTTTAATGCAATTCCGATCAAAATCACAAATGAGTTTTTTGTAGACAGGGACAAGTTCATTCTAAACCCTGCGTGGGAGGGAGAAGCGTGACACTTCCGAAAGTAAAGAAGGCAGCAGGAGGGGCCCAGCAGGGTGCAGGGCAGGGAGAGGCGCACAGCGCCCGTGACACCACACAAAGGCGCAGAAGCCACTCCGCGGGAAATTCAATGGTGCTGGAATGGGACACCCACGGGCAAAGAGATGGACCTCGCCCCTAACCTCACACCTCTCACAGAAGTTCATTCAAATGGGTCACAGCCATAAACGCAGAACACACATCTCCGAAACCGTGAGAAGAAAACGCAGGAGAAACCCCACCGAGGACGCAGGCAGAGGTGAAGCGTTGACACGTGGCCCCCAACACCACCCAAAAAGGAAGACCTCAGCCAAGTTAAAAGTTTTCTCTCCAAAAGACCCTCAGAAGAGGATGAAGAGACAACATACAGGACGGAGTGGGGGAGGGTGTGCAAACCACACATCCAGCATCTCCCAAAGGACTAGCATCGAGGTGGCAGGGAGAACTCGACTCGCCAGTCACCACGCACACGGTCCAACTCTAAACCGGGCCCAAGACAAAAACGGACACCTGGCTGCGGGCACACAGATAGCAGAGAAGCACAGGAAGAGGCGCCCACCTCATCAGCCGTCGGGGACACGTACGTTAAAATCACAAGGAGAGATTATCACACGCCTTCAGAATGGCTACAACGAAAACAGCCGTTAACACCAAATGCTGGCACCGGTGGGGAGAAAATGAATCGCACACACCGCTGGCAGGAATGGAGCCACCGTGCAGCCACCGTGGAAATCGACTGACACAGCTTCTTCTAAAACTAACCATACGCTTGCTGTATCACCCAGTAATTGCACTCCTGGGCTCGTATCCCAGAGAAATGAAAACTTACATCCGCACAAAACCCGTACGTCAATATTCTTGGTGGCTTTATTGGCAACTGCCAGGAACCAGAGACGCTCCAACATCCTTCAAGAAGCAAATGGTACAATGGAATCCAGCAACAAGAACTACTGGGGTGCCTGGGCGGCTCAGTCGGGTGACCGTCCAATTTGGTTTTGGCTCCCGTCATGATCTCAGAGTTTGGGGGTCCGAGCCCCCAGTCAGGCTCTGGGCTGACAGTGAGGCGTCTGCTTGGGATCCTCTCTCCCTCTCTCTGCCCCTCCCCTGTACATGTGTGTGCACGTGCTCTCTCCCTCATCCTCTCAAAATAAATCAATAAGGGCGCCTGGGGGGCTTAGTTGGTTGAGCGACCAACTTTGGCTCTGGTCACGATCTAGCGGCTCTGGAGTTCGAGCCCTGGGCCAGGCTCTGTGCTGACAGCTCAGAGCCTAGAGCCTGCTTCATTCTTTGTCTCCCTCTCTCTGCCCCTCCCCTGCTCGTGCTCTCTCTCTCTCAAAAACAAACAAGCATTTAATGAATAAATAAGAGCTGTGGATACATGCAGCAATTTGGATAGATCTTAAGGATGTGGTGGTGAGTGAAACGAGCCCATCCCAAAAGTCCCCAGCCGCGCGCTTCCACCCGGATAACACCCTGGAAACGAAGGACAAAACGGGGAAGAACAGCAGCTGGCAGAGAGGCCAGTGCCAGGCAGCTCCTTCCGGGCAGCTGTCCTGTCCTGCATTCTGATGGCGGTGCTTACACGGGTCTGCACGTGACGTCAGACGGCAGAGAGGACACGCACCGGGGCGCGTGTAAAACTGAGCAGTGACGGTCTGTGGTCTACATGTTGTACCGACACCGACCGCCTGATCCGGACGCTGCACTACGGTTCTGTGAGGTGTCGTTGCCAACAAGCTGGGAGATGCTGGCCTGTCGTTTGAGAGACTCCAGGGACGATTTTCCAACTTCTCAAAGAATGTTTATTACAGAAATCTTGAACATACAGAAAAACAAAGGCTAAGACTCCTATAATCTCAAGACCCAAAGGTTTTTGTGTGTTTATTTCTAGTCATTTTTTTTCTAAGCATGGGACTTGTTTGGGGGGTAATTCTGGGTTGGGAGGCTAAGACACAGTAAGATGATTACAGTTTATTATCCTTTCTTTCGCTCAATTTTATAACAACACGTGACTCAACATACGGTTTTCCCAAAGCGATGAGAAGCTGGCTCCGGCCCTGAGTGACCTACCCACTCGCTCTCACGCCCTCTCTGGGCAGCCGTCTCGGGGAAGGCAGCAGAGCCCCGGGCTAAGGATGTGGACTGCAGCCGGAGCAGCGCCCCCACTGTCCAGGACAGCCTGAGGCCGTCACCCCTTCTCTGCCTCTCCGCTGCACCAGTAAAACGTGAGGATGTCAACAGCGGACTAGGTCACGGGGTGGCAGGAGGATTAAATGAGTTCACGTTAAGTACCCAGAATCGTGCCCGGCGCATAGTAAGCACTCAATAAATGTTGCCTCGACTCTATTTTTGATGAGGTAGCTTTACTGCCCAACAGGTATTTTTGGAATGGTCCTTCGCCCATCCTCCCTAAAAGTTCTCTAATAAAACATAAGCCACGCTCAGTCCATACCAAGAACTCTGTCCCCGGGGGCCAGTCCCCACAGGTGACAGTAGCAACCTACCTCCGTGCATCACAACCACACCTCCACTGTGATCAAAGCCCTCCAGACCCTGACAAACGCCTCCACACCCTCAACTCCCCAGCACTACGTGTGCCGCAGCAAATGCTGAATGAACCTTCTGTGGAACCTGCTTAGGAAAAGCAACCCTAGAAGGATCAGAACTTGGACAGAAGACAGAGGAAGAATTATCAAAAGTTAATTAAAAATTATCAAAACTTTGGGGGCACCTGAGTGGCTCAGTCGGTTGAGCATCTGACTTCAGCTCAGGTCGTGATCTTGCGGTTTGTGAGCTCGAGCCCCGCATCAGACTCTCTGCTGTCGGTGGGGAGCTCACTTCAGATCCTCTGTCCCCCTCTCTCTGCCCCTCCCCCATTTGTGCTCTCTCTCAAAAATAAAGAAAATATTTTTTAAAAATTATCAAAAATGTATCTGGTTTCCATAACTATTCCCCAAACGCTTTCTAAAATTCACCGCAGGGGTGCCTGGGTGGCTCGGTTAAACGTCTGACTCTTGGTTTTGGCTCACATCACGATCTCATGGTTCATGGGTTAGAGCCCCGAGTCAGGCTCTGTGCTGACAGCTCAGAGCCTGGAGCCTGCTTCGGATTCTGTGTCTCCTTCTCTCTCTGCCCCTCCCCTGCTCACACTCTGTCTCTCTGTCTCTCAAAAATAGACATAAAAAAAAATAAAGATGTTAAAAAAAATAAAATTCACTGCAAAAGACTATAGTGTTGAAATAATCACATGCCTGTCCGTTATATACAAAGACTGTCACCTAATTCTATGGATGAGAGGAGAATCACAAATTTAAATGCATAGTCCGACGATATGAGACATTGTTGCTTAAAACTTAAAACTGGTTTCAGTAAAGAAAGTATCTGCATAAGAGTAAAAAAACAAAAACCACAATGTTTTAAAACATCTGAATTTGCCACCAATTCGTTATTGTGCTGGAACACAAGTGCCTTACCTTTTCTCTGATTACAACTGGTTTTAGAGGCCCAACTCAATCGCAGACTCTGGTAATTCGTATCTTCATCACAAACCAGAGTTCTAGTCAAACAAAAATCTATAACTGTCATTTAAAAAAAGGAATGTAAACACCATGCCAACAAGAAGTAACTGTGTAATAATCACAACGCACAGGGATAAAACAGCAAGAAACATGCAGCCTTCAGATCAGTGCACATTACAGAAGACTCTGGAAGAGCACTGGCTACTCCTTACCACCCAGGACAGATAGAGGCTGTGGCCACATTCTTTCTTCTATGGACAAGAGCCTTTGGGCACAAAGAGCATAAGCCCTGTAGACCCGACAAGCCTCAAGAAAAGCCCATCTGGACTGCACGCAAAAGAGGGTCAGAGGGCACAACGTGGGCAGCACAGAAGCGGCCACGATGCCGGGCTGGGGGGGAGGAGGCACGCTGCCTAGTCTCTCCGTGCTGCAGTGTCCTCGTCTGTGATAGCTGGCTGCCGGAAGCCCCTCCAGCTCTCCTCTGGACTGATCGTCCCTGTCCTGACTGTGGTAAGCGGGCACGCTGGCCGGCAGGGTGCCGTCTTCTCTTTGCCCCTCTCCAGCCCTCCCATACCCTCACTGCCACTGCCCTCCTGGAAAACCTCTGCCTCGTTCAGTTCACCACCACCGCCCCTCCGTTATGGCTCCCCGGTCCCCACACCCTCCTCTACTGCTCCCACCCGAATTCTGGTGACTTCCAGGCCCAGGAAACCATGTGGGTGGCATTCAGGCTCCTGGTTCCATGAACCCTCTCCTCCGATCATCCTGTCCCCCACCTTCTAGCAGCCCTACCTGACACCAGCATCACAGTGACAGCAAGTGCCTCTCTCCAAACCTGCCTCCAGGCCTACCCAGCAATCCTTAATCCCTGCCGACGGCACCACAATCTGTCCATCTTGTGACCTGTTAGCTATCCCTCCACCCACCTCCTCACCTCCCTCTGTGCCCTTCCATTCTGATCTGCTGGGGGGGTCCCCCCCCCCCCCCCCACGTAGCCCTGGGGAACGTACTTCCCACCTCCACTGTGCGGCCCCTGGGACCAGGGAAGGACACACCCATCGGGCCAGCAGGTTGACTGCCCCCCTTCCATCGCTGTCCACTAGGCTCGAGTGGCCCTCAGGGCACCTGGCCCGTCAACCCCCCACCTTTAGGGTCTTCTCCTCGACGCTCTATGGCCCCCCATTCTCAGTCTGCGCTGGCATCGTGCCTCTAGCTCACCAGGGGAAGCAGGGGTGGCAGAGGGCCCCATGAGCTCCCTCTGCCGCCCGTCCTCACGCTTGGCCCTTCCCCGGGAACAAGGGTAAGGTGCCCACGCGCACAAGGAGGCCCAGCGCCCACGCGGTACCCCATCGTATCCCTGCACAGGGACGAGGCCGCAGCCAGCAGGCCCCTCTCTCCCACGGCACCTCTGCACCGTTCCTGTCACCCAGACGCTGGGTCTCCCGTCCATCCGGGAAAGGTATGCTCTTGGGCCCGGCCATTCTTCGGCAACCTCCCCGTTTCTCTGCTCCCCTTGACAGCAGCATGTGCTAACTGCACGGTCCCCAATACCCCTCTCCTCCCCTCCCTCCCTAACCTCCAGCAAAACTGCTCTGGTCAAGGTCACCTATGATATCCACGTTGCTGACCCGATGGCCAAATTTCCAGTCTTCTCCAAACTTGACCAATCATCAGCATGACATGTTATCCACCCCGTCTTCCTCAAAGCCCTGACTCGGTTTCTACATCTTTGCTGGCTGTGCCTCTGCAATTCATCACTGCCCCCCTTCAAACACCAGAAACGCCTTCCCCACGTGCCACCACTGCCCGCCGGTCTCCGGGCCTGCACAGCCAAGTGTCCACGGATGGGCAGCAGGTGCCTCACCGTGCCGCTCCGGCTGCCACAGTCCCACACAAGATCCCCCAGCACACCTACCAGATAGGGCCCTACGGCCACCATCCCCCTGTAACCCGCCGCCGATTCTTGCCCGCACTAGTCACGCCCTCCTTCCGCACTCAGCCCACCAAGCCCCCTGCCTCACTGCGGTCTGTCCCTGAATGAGCCTCCAGACGATGTCGTCCCTGCTCTCCAGATCCTGTCTTGCCAGCAAAACCCTAAGCCTTCACATGCCCCGGAAGGCTCTGCGTGACCCGGTACCCCGTTACCTCCTCGACCTCACCCTCCAACCACGTCCTCCCCGCTCACCTGAGCCAGCTCCCGGCCTCCCCGTTTCCTGCACTCGCTCCGCAGACTCTGAGCCTCAGCTCCTCCTACGCTCTTCCCCACGCGCCCACCCCTCCCCGGCCGTTCGGCCAACAGCGTCTGCTGTCCTTCCCACGACTCCCTCCTCCACGTCCGCCTCCTGCACGCACCGTCACTTCACCTGCCACGAGCTCTGGTCTTATTCATCGCCTATCACCCACCCCTGAAGGTGTCATGAGAACGCGGACTTTCTCCTGGTGACTATCTCCCCAGCACCTAGAACGGTCCCCGGCGTGGAGACCAGACACTGCCACGTTCCGTGGGTACGTGTGTATCTGTCCAGCCGCGCCGTCCCTGCTGCTCCTCAACCCTGAACCACCTCCGCCCACAGCTCACTCCTCACTCAGTTCAGGTCTTGTCCAAATACTGCGTCCTCGGCCAGGCGTTCCCTCATCACCCTAAAAGCTCATCTTCCCAAGGACCGTAGCCCTCTGATGTACCTTCCCTACAGGGAGCACTCTGCTCCACCCGAAATGACACGTGTCTCTGACTGCCGTCTGTCTGTCTCTGCCAGCAGAATGCAATCGCCCTGAGACGGGCCTTCTGCCCATACACCACCGCGCTCCCGACACCCAGAGCAGTGCCTGGCACATGGGGAGCTTCAAACTACGAATTAACGAATTTAGAAAATCCGTGAACAAAGCAATCAAGGACATGCACGCAGAACGCTAAGTCAGGAAGGGCTCCCTGCCGAGCCGACACAGAGCCCTGCTACGCTTCCCCCTTTCCCCGATGCTCCTGCCTCACCCCCCTCCAGCCACAGAACTCCACCTGGGGCAGCCCCAGGCCCCACTGTCCACCAAGGCCCTCGAAGTGCCCCCGGGAGAGGAGGAAGTGGTGAACTACGAGTGCAGAGAAGCTGTACGAACCTGCTTTTCTAAATTCTCTCTTGCAACAGCCAAGAGTTGGGGAAGAGGAGGAAGAGCAACCCCTCAAGGGGCAAGCAGGCCTCTAAGTACCGTGCTTTATGTCGGGGAGAAAACAGAGAAGCATCTTACCGTACTTGACGTCTGGAACTGTGATGGAGCTTTCTGCAATTTTGTTGGACAAAATAATCTATCGAACATAAAAAAAAAAAAAAAAAAAGCATCTGACGTTCCTGCTATATACTGGAAACACTGGGCAAAATTAAAAAAGAAAAAAAAAACTCAAGCTCAAAAATTATTTAAAAGATTGTTAACATAGACAATGGACTCAAATTTTTAAATTAACAGTTTTCCTATTTTCTATAAAACACAACTGATCAAGGGTCTGGGAGGAGGCTGGGGGGAATCAACGTGGGGGCAGGGGGACCTCAGCAGCCAAACCTGTATACCTCGAGGCTCTGCCCCACACCGGGGTGGGGCCCTGAGCCACCTACTTACCTCCCTGTCCTCAGAGATGCCACGCAGACAAGAATAATGATGCCCACCCACAGGCTCGCCGTGAGGATCACAGGAGTTAACAGATGTAAAGTGCTTCCAACCGCTCCCGGCGCAAAGCACGGGTTCAATCACCAGTACCTACGGACCCGCAGTGCCTAAGTCACAGCGCCCAGGCACTGGACACGTGCTCTGCGCCAGGCACTGTGACACGACCGTAACTCAAGTCCAGATGTACATGGCTATAATTCACCTCCCTAACAGCTCTACGTTCCAACAGAAGTTCAGTCTCACAAAAGCCGTTTGCTAAGACACACTACAGGTGACAGGGACCCAGGCCATCTATCTGTTCAGGTCCACATGAATGACCTTAACTGCTACCCCTCTTCCTGGCATAATCACTGGATGCCCACAAAGCCTGGCAACACGGCAGGTGCTTAAAAGCAACAGGCAAGAAGCCAGACAAAGACAGCCGTCCCAGACCTCGGACACAGTGCTTCCGGGGTCCTGGGATTAGCACGGGGCAAAAGGCACGACCAAGCTAACACCCAAAGGAAGGGCTGAGCCTGCACCGTGCAGGGGCTGGCCACCCCTGGAGGTTCCACACATTTGCCAGGAAGCGAGGGGGCTGGGTTGTGCGTCTGAGGTTCCGGACCGCCGTCAGCAGCTCTGGAAGGGTCGTGCTAAGATGCTGCCACGGCTCACGCACAACCCGAGGTTAAAGCCGTCCCCCTTCACCGGGACTAAGAATGCGGGTTCCACCCAAGGCCGCGGGGCAGTGCTGCAGACACCACAACCGTCCCACAGTCTGAGAAACGCCAAGAGGTGAGAAGCATCAGAATCCACCAGCAACAACACCCTGAAGTGGAGGAGGTAAAGAATACTAGCAACCGACCGATAAAACAAAAGACGAGAAAGAAGCAACACACGCGGCTCCTCGGGCAAGTACGCGTCCGGGTGAGTCACCACCAGCTGCGGCGCGCGTCAGGCCAGCTAGCGGAGGTGTCCGCGCTCCGCGACGGCACAGTCTCGGCGGAAAATGTGCCTGAAGTGCTTGCAAGTCCCCTCCCGGTTTCCTACCTTTCTGTACCCAGGAACTGGACTTAGAAACACGTTATTCTGTTCTTCTAAAGTCACACTTGAATGGAGTGGATAAACCTGTAACCTAGGGAACAGATAACGAAATAACATGTCCATAAAGAACAGAAGTGAGGACACACAAAAGCGAGCAACTGTTCACTGAGCTGATCGGACTCCTTTACGGCAGAAACAATAACGGAACAGTAAAGACAGAGCCACATCATTTGAAACATACCTTTTGTGAACCATGTTTGTGAGAAGTTCATGCATGTAGTTTATTTCACCCAGACCTGGAGACGAAAAACAGTGGAGAGAGGAAAAAAGATGTATTTGCTGCTTAAAAAACAACCTTTAAATGAGATGACATCCTTTTCAAAAAAAGGCCCTACCAATTCATTTTGACTTTGTTATCCTGTTTGCCCAATTACATCTCAATTACAAATGCAAATGTACATTGACATTGACCACTGATAACTCAAAAATATGAAAAAAAAAAAAAACATTCTTCTGGTGTTTCCCTTCCCACAACAGTGACCGCCTGCAAGTGTGGCCATCCGAATAATTACATTTCTTTTTTATTTCCCACTGATTTTTCCAAACTTTCTATGGTCAACAGGCAACATTTTACAACCAAAAAATAGTACTCAAAAAGTCCTGGTCACACAGATAGGCTAAATTTTTTTCATTAGGTTTAAAAAATGTCTATGGATACATCAAACTTTCATGTGCTCTTGTCCCAACCTGAACTATCAACCCTGTAATGTGCTGAACTGTGTCCTCCGAAGAGGTGCTAAGTCCTAACTGCAGTACCTGAGAACATCGTTCTGTCTGCAAACAGCATTACTGCGGACGTAACGAGCTCAGGTGAGGTCAGACTGGAGTGGACGGGACCTTACTCCAATAGGGCTGGTGTCCCCATAAGAGGAAGGGAGAGGGACACACAGAGAGAGCGCCGCGTTAACACGGGAGGCAGAGATAGGAGGGACGCAGCCACAAGCCAAGCAACACCAAGGATGGACGGCCGGTGGCTGCTGGAAGCCGGCAGAGGCAAGGGAGGGTTCTACCGGGAGCCCCACAGGGAGCAAGGCCCTGCTGACACCTTGATTTCGAACTCCTGGCCTCCAGAGCAGTGAGAGAATAAATTCCCATTGTTTTGAGCCTTACACTTCGTAGCATTGTTACAGCAGTCCTAGAGAACAAATACAGAACGGCTCCCAAAAGATCAATTCACAAAATAAACATCTATCCAACCTGCGTTCACATAAACACGTAACAGACACAAGGCAAAGTAAACTGTAAAATACCGTTCATAAATATTTGCCGCAGACAATGTTTAACAGTTAGAAGGCATTTATCTCCTTTTTAGGTATTCCTGAGCTAGTACGCCGTGGCTCTGCTTTGGCCACAGTTCTCCTTCATACACCACCACACGCACAGCAGTCTTTGATAAATGTTTATTGGGGTAACTGCAACCCCACCCCACTGGCAGCGATGGTTGTTTCCTGGGTACAAAATTAATCCATAGCAACATAAGCAACACATAACTGAAGCTGCAAACTCAAATGGTGCATCCCAAAATTAAGTAAGCTACTTTGATTCAGGGTTTTTGTTCTCCAAAACTACTTGTACAAAGACTCATGTGCTATCATTACCTTTTAACAACAAAAAAATACGTGAATTATCGTCACGATGTGCCACCAAACTATACCACTGTATTTAAAAAATCAAAAACATCATTTTGAAAAAGTACAATTTACCACAAATTAATCTTTCTCAGGTAATTCACAAGGCCGATTTCCCAAATATTGAGATAGGGACACAAGGACTTTTCTGATGACTCTCATGGTATCACAGCAGCAACATCGTCATTAAGTAAGCTTTGCGTGTACGATGATGGCAATCACCTCACATTTACGACGATATATGTGAAATGGCAAATTTAACAAAGCCAATTACTTTATTGAAAATTTGGAAGCAGATAAAACTGGCTTTAGGGGCGCCTGGGTGGCGCAGTCGGTTAAGCGTCCGACTTCAGCCAGGTCACGATCTCACGGTCCGTGAGTTCGAGCCCCGCATCAGGCTCTGGGCTGATGGCTAGGAGCCTGGAGCCTGTTTCCGATTCTGTGTCTCCCTCTCTCTCTGCCCCTCCCCCGTTCATGCTCTGTCTCTCTGTCCCAAAAATAAATAAAAAACGTTGAAAAAAAATTTTTTTAAATTAAACTCTTAAAAATAAGTTAATTAAATAAAATAAAAATTAAACTCTTGGGACACCTGGGTGGCTAGTCGGTTAAGTGTCAAAATCAACAAGTCTATGCTGATGGGGCAGAGCCTGCTTGAGATTCTCTCTCTCCCTCTCCCTCTGTCCCTCCCCTGCTCATGCTCTCTCCCTCTCAAAGTAAATAAATTAACTTTAAAAAAAAAGGATCAGGGGCGCCTGGGTGGCGCAGTCGGTTAAGCGTCCGACTTCAGCCAGGTCACCATCTCGCAGTCCGTGAGTTCGAGCCCTGCGTCGGGCTCTGGGCTGATGGCTCAGAGCCTGGAGCCTGTTTCCGATTCTGTGTCTCCCTCTCTCTCTGCCCCTCCCCGGTTCATGCTCTGTCTCTCTCTGTCCCAAAAATAAATAAAAACGTTGAAAAAAAAAAATTAAAAAAAAAAAAAAAAAA